CTGAAGACCTACGCGGTCCTGCCGGTGAGGCCCCGGCTGGGAGGGGGAGCGGGAGGAGGGCCCCGCCCAGGGCCTCCGTCGCCCGGCCTGTTGGGAGCCTTGGGAGCCACAGGGTTACAAAGCCCCAAGGTGCACGCAGACCCGGGCCCCTCGGGGTTACTCTGGTCCCAAACTCCCAGCATAAACTTGGCCCCCTCACCCCACCTGCCCTGGGTGGGGCGGAAAGTTTTGCATCTGGAAAATAGGAGGTGGGCGGGCCAGCGTCTGGGAAAGCAGTGAGTGAGGGGCTCTGTAGAAGTTTGTGCACTGGCTGACCTGATAGCAGAAGGACAGGGGCGCGCGGGCCCCTCTACCAGGGAAGGTTAGCAACTGGACACTTCCTTGCTCACAGGTGCCCCTGGCAAATCAGTTGGACCATCTTTCCCACCTGTGAAAATGGGGCTAATATAACCAGTGTCCCAGAGTGATTATCAGGATAAGTGAGGGGGGAAAACGTCCTGAAACAGACTCCTTTTCAATCCATAAACAGGGGCTGAGCCCCAGGCCCTGCCCCAGAGGAGGAAAGAGGCATAAAAGGCTAAGGCCCTGTGGGGAGTTAATTCTGCTCTGATACTGGGCTCATGCCTGGGAGGGAAGGCGGATGGACACCAAGGATGTCTTCCGTTTGTACTCCTCTCTCATCTTCACAAGCACTGAGTCCCTTGCATTTTAAGGCTGGTGAACCCCAAGGTCCAGAGAGACTGAAAAACTTACCCAAAATCACACAGCATTAGTTGTAGAACTGGGCTGGAACTTGCCCCAGGTTACACAGCCATCTTGAGGCAGGTGTCCCATCACAAATGGGAATTTTGATTCCAGATGAGGTCCCTAGTAGGGTGCCCCTCACAGTAGGATGTTAGGAATGGGGCCAGATGCAGTCATGGGCTGCCTGGCATCTGGCCATGGGGATGGGAAGAGCTGGTAGGGTCAGACCTGGGCCCAGTGTCCCTTTCCTCTCTTCCCTCTTCCTGCCCCTCAAAAAAGTGTCATGTTCTTTTACATCTTCCTTGCTCCTCTCCTTCCCTCACCCAGCCAGGGACTCTTAACCCTCCCTGTTTTTGGTCCAGGCTCTGCCTTGCAGATGCTCACAGTCTCATCAGTTACCAATTTGATGGGGGACTGTGGCCAAGTTCCTTTCTCTCTTTGGACCTCAGTTTACTCATCTGTAAAATGAGGAGTCTTAAAACCCAGCTGCATTCTGATGCCCCAAGTACTTTCCTGGGGACCATGGGAACTGTCCCCCTCAGAAGTTCTCAGGCTCTAGACTCCTCCCTGAAGCTATCACTTTAGCCTCTTTTCTCAGGTTCTGGCTGAGAGCAAAGAAAATTAAGTCACTGCCCTCCTGGTGAGAGTCATCAGCTCCCAGTGTTCTAGTCACTTCTGTTTGCTGTGCTGCCCTCAGTTGAAGCTTTCAGCTTGCCTTTTGGGCCTGTGAACCGTCCACGGCCAGGGACCCTGTCAGTGCTTCCTGTTCTGCTCACAGAGCTCGGTTCAGGGCTGGGCCCAGGGGATGTCAGGAGAGAGCACTGGATTTGGAGTTTGAGCTTCGTTCCTGGCTCTACCACAAAACGCCTGTGTGGCCTTGGGCATGTTTCTTGTGGGAGATGAAGTAGAGATAGAATCCCCTGCCTAAGCAACATGGTCATGAGGTTCAAGGAGATAGTTAATTACAGGGAAGCACCTACCTGGCCTGCTGCGAGGGTCTCGAGTCAGCAGAGAGCAGCGTCCTGGTACCACTGCGTGCCAGGGCTGGCCCCCAGCAATCAGGCAGTCTCTCTCACATGCAGTCTGTCACATGCTCCCTCTTACACACTCACACACATGCTCACCTACACACTCTCTCACATATATGCTCACACTCTCTTACTGAGAGAAAAACTGTTTCTCTGTGCTTGTTCTGGGGAATCACAGATGGAAGACTCAGACCAAAACCCACCCACAAAGGGCTGCAGGCACATGAGGGATGGACGCAGAGGGTGGTGACCCAGCATGGTGCTGGCTGTAAGGGGCAAGTCTGGGTCCCCGAGCCCTGAGAAGTGCCTGCCTTCTCTACACAGCAGCTGGAGTGAAGTTCTGAAAATGTAAATCCATCATGCCATTCTTCTGTTTAAAACCTTCCCCTGGCTTCTAGTCATACTTCAAAGCAAGTCCTTCTGCCCCTGGCTTGCAGGGCGCTATGTGACCTGGTGCTGCCCACATCCTCCAGGGCCCTCCCTCATCTCACTCCAATCTGGGCCTGCCCTTAGTAGACACTCTGCTTTCCCATCTCCTCACTGCTCTAGTCCCAGAGTCTAGAATGAACCCGGCCCATGGTGGGCTCCCCACAAACATGTACTGAAGGAATGAATGAACTCTTCATGAGTTGGGGAGGAGGAGGAGGAAGGTGGGACAGTGGGGAGGGTCCAGAGAAGAGCTGCTGTTTGCTCTGGGTCTGGACAGATGGGGTGGTGGTCCACTCAGTGGAAAGGTGGGGTGGGATGGGGGGCAGGTGGAGCTGAACAGCCAGAGCAGGAGTAGGTCAGGTGGTCCATGGGCTGGACTTTGAGAGGGTGAGGAGTGTGGCAGGAAGCACAGCTTGGACCTGGGACTAAAGCAGTCCTGAGGATTAAATGGAAGCAGCCGTGTAGCCTGGGCACACAGTAGGTGCTCAGCAAACATGTGAGTTCTCCTCCCCTCCCAAGGTGCTCCAGTTTTTCTTACTTCTGGGAGAAACCTTGAGTTTGAAGCTAGACTGTTTCTGACATTGGCTAACCTCCCATGACATGGAGGCCCACGATGGCCACTGTGGCTGAAAATGGGTGGTTCCGAGGGGAACAGGAGGCTGAAACAGTGATGAGTCAGCCTCAGGACTCGCTTCTTTAGGACAGGCGGGAAGTGGTTTGGGTGCCCCAGTGTTTCTGCCTAAACCTCAGTGGGTTTGAGTGTGTGGCATAGAGCCTTAGGGAGAGCTGGGCTTGGACAGGCCTGCATTTGAAGCTGCCCAATTGCGTGGTCTCGGCTCTTGATCTCTGGGCCTCCGCTTACTCATTTGTGAACTGGGGACAGTAGTGGCTGCCATAGAGGAGGGACTGATGACACTGCCTAAGTGCCCAGCCCAGGGCCTGGCACCATGGCTTCCACAAGTGAGCTCCCTTTTCTTCCGTCTTCTGTGGTTGGCGTAAGAGCCTCTGTGGTGGTGGGACAGGCACAGGACTGCCTGGAAGGGATGCCCGATCCTTGTCCCTGCTCACTGGTCTGGGACTCTCTCTCACCCACAGGGGGACTATGTCTGGATGGACCTGAGATCCGGGCAGGAGTTTGATGTGCCCATCGGGGCAGTGGTGAAGCTCTGCGACTCTGGGCAGATCCAGGTGGTGGACGATGAAGGCAATGTGAGTAGTCCCCCACCCCTCCTCCACTCCTGCCCCCATGCCTTGGGAAGGACACGGGCAGACAGGTGACCCGAGGTAGGGCCAGGCACTGGCCTGTCTCAAGAGGACGGAGGCAGTGCCCAGGCCCCTACTTCTGCTTCTCAGAACCCCCTTCTTCCATGGAGTTTTCCCCATGACCCTGGTAAGACAGAACCTCCCCTTCTGCCCCAGGCTCCCTGTTCTATTTCCACAAGCACTTCAAGTCCATTCTGTTTAGTATTAGAGATGTGTGTCTGTGTGGGCATGTGGGTGTGTACAGAGAGGGACGTGGAGGTCCAGGCTGGGAGCTCCTCAGGCACAGGGGTCCTTCAGGGTCAGACAGACTGAATTCAAATCCCATCCTGCCCACTTACTGGCTATGCAGCCTTGGCCAAATCTCTTTCCCTTCTGAACCTCTGTTCCCCCTTCTGTCGACTGGGGATAATAACAACTATCTCATAGGGTTATTGACCTATATGTGAGGTCACACGTAGAGAATTCTTCAGTAAAGTGACAGTTAGTCTGAAAGTGCCCAGTCTCATTCTGTGGGGTTACAGCATCATACAAATTCACTGTCCACCCTGGCGCTGCCTTGGAATCAGTCTAACAGATTAACCCTTTATCTCTGTGGCCCTGAAGGAAGGGGACATAAGAATTGTAAGCTTGATAGGTAGTGAGAGTAGAACCTTGGGGAGGGAAGGAAAGGTCTGAAATCAGGTCTTGCTTTAGAGAAGATGGGTGGCCCAAATGAGAGCCCAGAGGGGAAGCTTGGGAACTTCGGACAAGTGTGCGCATGTGTCGCACATGTGTATGTGGTGGGGGCGGGGCAGATGTAGATGTGGTGCAGAGAACAGGGCTGCAGCTTAGTGGGGCCATAAGGGATCCAGGGAGATTCAGTTCCACCATAATTTGGGTTGTGCTGTGGCCGGCACTATGACCAGCAAAGAGACAGGACTGAGTCTCTGTCTTAGCCTCCTAGTTTGATGGAGATGAAAGAGGATGCAATGACTTGAAGCAGAAGGCTCTGTTGGCGGCTCAGGACCCTGGGGACCTAGTACTGGACATGGAGGAGGCTGGGCTTCTTCCATTATCCCTGCAGCCCCCAGGGACACCTCCCCTGGGGTTTGCAAAGCCCTTTGACCCAAGTTCCATCTCTGAGTCCTCACAGTGTCTGTGAGAGGCAGGGAGGACAGCCACTGTTACCCCAGTGGGAAACTGGAGCCTAGAGAGGGACCCCCGGGACTCACAGCTAGTGCATGATGGTGCTGGGGTCAGGATCCAGGGCCTCTGGCCCTGCACATGCATTTCCTCTCCCAACATCTCAGTGGCAGCTCTGGGGCTCAGGTTCTGTCAACCACACTTTTGACCCCTGGGCTTTAGAACCAGAGTGGCAGCAATGTCATTCTGGAGGCTCCAGTTCTAGGGCCCTCCAGGAAGCCCCTGTGAGGTTGCAGCCACAGAAGAGGGGCAGCACAAACAGGCCCATGAACCAGCCTAGAGTTCCCAGGGTGGGGCACAGGGACTCTGCCTGCAGGCTTGAGTTTCACCTGGGTTGTGTTGCATGTCAGATGGTGTCCTGTAACTGTGTCACTGGATCCCAGAGGTCCGCTCCCACTCGTCCCCACCAAGTCCCTGAGAATGGGGGCTACAGGTGGGGAGGGACATAGCTGGCTGGCTGAGAGCAGGTTAGTGGGGCTGGGTTTACTTCAGCGGCACTGGTCCCTGGGGGCTTCTGTCCTCCTCTTTCACCAGGCTTCTCCACTCCCACTCCCTCCACACCTCAGCTCTCCAGGCCATCATCTTTGACCACTCTGTCTTCCTACAGATTCCCTCAACTTGAGGGCAGGGACCAGGCGAGTCAGGTCTGATTCCCTACAGCACACCAAAGGGTCTCCCTAGAGAAGTTTCTCCATGGACTTGCTGAATAAATGAATGAAAGATTATGGTTTCAGTCTCCACTGGAATCCTAATGCTCTGTCTTTGTCCAAGCCATTCTCATTGCTCGATGCACCCCTTCTTCCCTTCTTCCACAGGGCTCGTGGTCCCTGCCTCTCCAAGCTCAGCATCATGTCCGCTTTTTCCTAAATGTGTCCCCAGGTCCTGGAATTGGCCATGTTCTCTCTCTCTTTCTCTCTCTCTCTCTCTCTCTCTCTCTCTCACCGGCATGCCTTCAGGGACAGGCCTCAGTTTCTGCCCTGGTTATACTTTGGTCTGTGCCATAAGTGTCTGTGGACATTGACCTGAGGGGTGCAGACCTCAGCTGAGTGACCTTCCATGCAGGGAAGGGGTGGGGAGAGGCGCAGCTCTGCTGTTTAACTGAGCACACCACTTTACCTCTTGAATGTGACTCCTCATTGTAAAATGGGGTTGGTAATTCCTCAATGCCATCTTGTGAGGAACAAATGAGAACATACATCTTTTTTGCAACAAAAACTAGAAAGCATTAGAGTGATAATACCCAGCACTGGTGGAACAATTACCAGGTACCAGGGCTTTTTAGATCTGGCAGGAGTAAAACAAAGGTTGGCCATTATTGAATCAATTAACCCTCCCAACATCCCCAAGAAAATGGGACTGTTATTCTCATTTCCGTTTCATAGATGAGGTCGTAGAGGTTCAGGGAAGCAAAGTGACGGGCACAGGGATGCCGGTCTTGCAGTGGCTGAGCCACCTCTTGGCCCTGTGCTGAAGTGTCATGGGGAAGAATTATGGGGCCAGAGATTGGGGTCGAGTGGGGAAGGCAGATGGCCTGCCCAGGTGGCCTCTCACTCTCGCCCATGCCAGGGCCTAGGACCAACTGAGAGTAGGGACCAGGCAGAGGAAATTTTCCAACTGGATCAGCTTTTATCAAGAAGGGTGCCTGGGAGAGAGGAATGTTCCACCTGGGATTGGAAAGTCCAGGCAGATTCTTTAATTTCATCACCCAGCCCGTTCATGTCAGGGCTGTGTGAGGGCCTGACCTGGAATGAAATGCCCTGGCCCAGGAGTGCCTCGAAATGCCAGGGAAACTGGAACCGTGGGCAGTGGCTGTCCCTGTTCCCGATCCCTCTGAGGGCCTTAGTCCTCTGAGCCTGTTTACTCAAGTAAAGTGAGGGGGCTGGATAGGGGACTTCTGGAGTCCTAGTCCATGACTAGACCTCTGCTTTAATTCAAACCTGGTTCCCAGTAGTCACCAGCAAGCCGTCTGTCTCATCAGAGGTTCCCTGCCACGTCATTTGTGCCTGGTCCCTGTACGAAGCTCTGTGGACCAGGGGTATAGTGGGCATGGAACCTGGCCTCCAGACTTGGGGCAAATTGAGGGGGTGGTGGTCAGGGACAGAACTGCATTCAGATAGTGGCAACCCAGTGTGACCACTGCCTCTCAGTGGGAGACCCAGGCAATGTGGGAGCCCAGAGGAGGCCCTGACCCTAGCCTGGGGAACCAGTCAGTTTCCTGCCTGTTCCTGAGGCTCCCAGGGTTCTGGCATTGGGAAAGGGGAGGGGGCCCCAGAGGGTGTTGGAGGCTTGACTCAGGCTGTAGCCACACCCCAGAGCACAGGAGAGATTCTCACTTTCCTGAGAGGCTGGGACTGTGAGTAGAGGATGCTGGAGGCCACCTAGGGAGGAGAGACTTCCAGGGCCCAGAGGAAACCAGGGCTTTGCAAACTTGTTGAAGGAACCAGTGCTATTGCCCAGATGTGCAACCATCTGCCACCCTGGTATTTCCCTGCAGCAGGAAATATTGCACTATCTGGATAACTTTTTGTGCATTTGGTTACTGGAACCTGGATTTGAAGCCAAGTCTAACTCTGATGATTACACTTTTCACTCCATCATGTAAAGTGACTAGATAGACTAATCCCCTTTATGATAACCATAGGTAGGGCCAAAATCCCTGCCACGCCCACCTCTTGGGTCTGCAGAGAGTCCCCTAAGAGGAGGAGGAGCCGTCCTTGGAGGGTGGGGGTGGGCAGTACCATCCTCAGATGCCTATTAGAACAGGTAGTGTTCAGCCGCAGGAGAGGACAAGGCTCTTACCAGGGTCACAGAGACCCGGGGTTGCTGTCCCTCCCGGACCCTTCCCCAGCAGTGTGCAGCCTGGGCCCCAGGGGAGAGCTGACGTTAGCCACTGTGTCTTCTCACAGGAACACTGGATCTCCCCCCAGAACGCCACGCACATCAAGCCCATGCACCCCACGTCGGTCCACGGCGTGGAGGACATGATCCGTTTGGGGGACCTCAATGAGGCGGGCATCCTACGCAACCTGCTCATCCGATACCGAGACCACCTCATCTACGTGAGTGCCGCCCCGCCCACCCGCAGCCCCTCCGGCTACCGGCCCCTCCTACTCGCCTCCCTGCCCTGTGCTCCCGCACAGCCCGGGGTCCAACCCCTGCGGTTGGATCCCGGGGACCAGGTAGCCAGCCCCTGCCCTCTCTCTTGGGCTGTGGGCTTGTGTGGTCGGTGTTGGAGAAAGGGGAAGTTTTTTCCCTCAAGTTCATGTAGGGTGATAGGTGCCTGAGACAAGTGCAGAGCTGGTTCTGCGGGGTCTACACGACTGAGGCCTCACCGCCAGGTCGGGAGAGTGGCGGGGCTGCCGCCGGTGGGGGAGGTTGGCCGGTGGAGAGGGCGTTCAGGAGGGGGCACTGCATGAACAGAAGACCCGAGGCAGGACCGTGCCAGGTGAGTGAGCGGCACTGTGTCACCAAGGTCGTCAGAATTGTGAGGAGAGTGAGGGAGAAGGGGCTGGGAGAGTCTGAGGGAGCCTGAGGGTTGTCCCCTGAGGAAGCACAGCAAGCAGCTCTCAGGCCAGGGGTCCATCCCCTCAAAAGCCCTGGAATTGTGGCACCTCAGCTGCCAGGGAGACCCTCCGCCAGCCTCCCCACTCTGGGTCCCTTGCGGCTTCGGGCTCCCAATAGGGGGCTGTGCTCGGTCCCTTGACATACATCAACTGCTTGGAGGCTTTCTCGGGGAGCCCCTTAGCCCTGACAAAGCCCCTCTTGCTCAGAGGTTTGTGGACAGGTAACCAGAAGTTCCCCGGCTTGGATGGTCTGTGGGCCTAAGATTCTGGGTGTGCTGGTCTGGGAAGCTTTGCTCCAGAATTGTAGGGTTCAAGGGGGTTTCCTTGACTTGCTGATGCTCTGCTTCTGTGACTGTGGCTGAGGTAGGATTAGAGGAGGCCTTTGAAGAAGCAGCCAGGCCATTGTCTCACCCAGAAACCATAGCTGTCCCTAACCATGGCAACCTCTGGTCACTTCATGGCTTGGGTTACCCTGGGCACAGCCCCACACGCCCAGGATTTCCTCAGATTACCATGGCCACTCACAGCCGTGGGCCCAGAGGACATCTGTCCCTGACTGTCTGCCCTGGGCTTGCCTGCTCCAGCTGGCCTGCCCCCAGGAGCCTGAGGGACAGCACCCCAGAGCTGTAAGTCAGCCCCCGACACCCTAAGTGGGGCAGAGCCCTCAGAGGACACCTAGCAAGCCCTCAGTGGGTGGTCCCATAGGCCAGGCATCCCTGGGTCTTGCAGGGAGCAGGTGGCAGGGCTGATGCTGAACAGAGGCTGGAGCCCTGGTCTGGCAGCTGAGGGGGCTGGATCCAGGTCTTTGCAGGTGGTCTTTGGCAAGTCCCTACCCCTGTCTGTTCCCAGCCTTCCCTTTGGGACAAAGAGGTGGGTACTTCTGTGACAGTGGGAAGGTGTATGTGTCCAGGATGTGTGTCTTGGTCTCCATGGCCTGCTAA